ATGTGGAATAAGGTCATTAGAAATTGTGAGGACATACAACGTTTTTAAGAGTTAGCACAAAGACTGTTAGTTACAAGTGAATGGCTTACAGTTTGCTTCTATACTGCATATTATACATCTCATTCAATTTAGTTGTCCAAAAAATAAAAATAAAATCAATAATAAAAAAAAATTAAATAACTTTTAAGACCAGTGAGTTAAAAGAGCGGAAAGATCGTGAATAGGAAATGCAATGATATGAGACAGTCAGCTCAGGTTTTGATTGCTGGATCTAGCAAAGTCAGATTTACTTTTGTACAACTTTGTGTTTTAAATATTATCAATATCATATTACATCCTTTTTCCAGGTGTCAAACTGTAGTGTTTAATGGTGAGTGTTTAATGATCTTACTATATGTTTGTCAGTGACACTTTCTTAAATTACAGGAAGGCTGCTGTTCACATGAAGCTGTTAAATGTCAAAGTGACGACAGTTTGATAAACTAACAGTCTGAGGACAGTTGGGGATACTTCACGAAAGTTGATGAGAAATTGTTTTAAATCTCCTTCAGTATTCGAGGAATCGTTCACATGTATGGGCTTCAGTCAAAGACGATATTCAGAGAACAGAAAGACACGTTTCACTTCAACAGGATATTTTGCGCAAACGATGCATACTGCTTGTGTAAGAATCTAACATAGCATGTTGGTGCGAGCCCACTTTGTAGTGCAGAGTTGTGGAATGTGAGCGATGAAGACACGTTTCACTTCAACAGGATATTTTGCGCAAACGATGCATACTGCTTGTGTAAGAATCTATCATAGCATGTTGGTGCGAGCCCACTTTGTAGTGCAGAGTTGTGGAATGTGAGCGATAGAGTGTGTCTGTGTGCTGAACTGAAGGTATCTGAACAGAGACACCGGAGGGGTGTGGAGACAATGAGCAAAGAGCACTCTGGGAAAGATAAGGTAGGTTGAAAGAGATTTACAGCGTTGTGGATTCTGTTCTGCGTAACCTCTGTACCCAGCCAGGTAAATCCCGTTCAGCCCGCCTCATCTCTCCCTCCATATGATCATTGCCTTCTCCACCCTTCACTGCTCGCCCTCGCCAAAGACGTCGTTCTGTTTACGCTTCATGTTCTCAAAGTCGAAGTCACTGCCTGTCATGCGCTTGTAGATGTCCTTGATGTCGTTACAAGTTGTTTCAAAATGAGTGGTGGCATCGTAGGACCGTGATGCAAAAATCTGAAGAAAAAAAAAGACAACAAAAAAATTATTTGTTTTTGAATAATGCCCAGCAGTGCCTTATTTAAAGAAATTACTGTGAAGCCAGTCATTGTTAACTAAAACTATTAAAATAGTTTAATTGAAATAAAGCTGAAATAAAATTAAATATAAACAGATGAAAAACGTAAGTACTAAGTTGAAGTACTAAAATGAAACCTAAAACTGAAACAAAAATAAAGCTAAATAGAAATATTAAAAAAATTAAACTATTAAAATCATTTTTGTTGACTGAAATAAAGTATACTGAAGTTAAGTATACTTATTAAGTTTAAGTCTTTTATCTAATACTTATATTTAATATTATTTCAGCTTAAATGAAAATTAGAAATGTTTCCTTGGAAACTAAATGAAATAAAAGCTGAGTGAAATACTATAATTACTAAAAGAGAAATTATATATATATATATATATTTTAAAAATAATAATAAAAAAGAAAAAGCACAAAATAAAATGGCTAAAACTAAAATAAAACTGATATGAAAATATAAAAACTAATTATAAATAATAATAAATACTACATTAGCAGAAAAATATTTAAATAACTGTGGGAAGCTGACCTGGCTCTCTGTACCATCATCTATGGGTTCATACATGTCACTGAAGGCCACAAACCTGTAAAAATGACAAAATAAAAAATCTGCATTCATGTAGTATGATATATATGTGTGTTTAATACAACATTTAGCTGTAGTCCATGAATTTAGCTGGCCAAGTGGCTTTGCAGACAAAAGTATGTGAGTGGTGTGGGTGTTTGTCTGGAGTGGAGTGTATTTTTTAAACATACTAATACTAAATGGTTACATCTTTCTGAACCATGTTACTTGGTATTTACATTATTAAAGTTCTTCACTAAAACAGAGCCAAATAAACAGGGCATAGAAAGCAGAAAACAGAGAGTAAACTGACTTTTGGTCAATGGGCTCGAGGAGTTCCAGAGCAGGTTCGATTTCAGCTTCAGGATCAGAGGTTTCCACAGTGGTGCTGGCAATGGCGATGTACTTCCCCTGAGCCGCCACATTATGGGCATAGGAGATCATGCAAACATAGATATCTACAGGCAAACAAGAACAAATTGTGCATGAACTTTTCATTACATCACACTTTTGCAACTCAGCTCATTTTTGAAATGAAAGCAAGCAGCGCCCTCTAGTGGTGACTGCACACAAGTACTGATGCACACATGCTGTAATACATACACACTCAGTGTTCATTTCGTTGACGAATAATTTTCGTCATAATTATCGTAAGATTAATCTAAATTTATTTATAGAAATAAATATGTCTGCTTGAAAGAATGAAGAATAAGGTAAACAAGTTGCTATAAAGAATGCATAATTAGCCTATATAACCATTGTTATTTCATTAAAATGAAGACCATGTTCTTGTTCTTTATGAGAAGTGGTTTTATTTAATTTTAACAAAGGCATGTTGTGTGTCACAGCAGTTAAATCGGTGTCTATCATGATAAAACTTTAATATCAAACCTATATAAGGAGTTTGGACATGTTAGAGAAATGCTTAATAAATGCACTGTAACTAAACCCATTAGATTTTAGCCGACTAAATTTACTATAGATTTAGTCGACTAAAATCTTGTGATATTTAGTCGACTAAAACTAGACTAAAACTAAAAACAATTCAGATGACTAAAATATGACTAAAACTAAATGGCATTTTAGTCAAAAGCCTATGACTAAAACTAAATCAAAATGTGCTGTCAAAATTAACACTGATATACATGCACTAATAGTCTAGTGTAGGTTTATCCTGCAAATTTTGATGTATTGTCACTCACCTGATTTGCGGTTAACCTGGTTCTGAGGGATGATGATCTGGCAGGAATTGGCATCATTAGTGTTTTTAATGGGATGGCTGAGGACGCAGATGACCCGGATCACCTGGCCGACTTTGTGCACGCGGTCCGGGATGTAGCTAGGGTCGCAGATGAGCTGCTTGCAACGGGCAACCTGGAAAAAGCAGGATTATTGAGGTAAACCAGAAGACAACACCAGATCTTACGCATAAACTTATGCATGAAAACCACCTATTTATTCTCATGATGCATGCTTGATGAAATTAACCAAATATAAATGTAAATTCTGTCTCAAAGGAAAATCCACGCATTGTCATTTTGTAATAAATCAGTTTAATTTTTAATAATTTACATAAATTATTTCTATTTAATTATGAATTTTTAGTTATATCACACTGCAAACAACACTTGTCTCTAAAGATTCACCTCTCCCTCCGATTTCACGCCTACCACATGTCCTCCCTCCATCACTATCTCGTCCACTGGTTTGTTCAGCATGTAGGTTCCTCCATAAATTGCACTTAACCTGTAAGTTCACAAGGGAAAAGGACCATATTTATAACACAAGGACTTTGCAATGACGCTCAACACATGATTACTAGGATGATTGTGTGGGAGGAGCGGCTGACCTAGCAAACCCTTGAGGCAGCTCCCCCAGTCCGTACAGAGGGTACAGGTATGGGCTCTTCCCGTAGCGTGCCAGAGACTCACTGTAGAGTTTGATCCTACTGATGGTCTCCAGACACGGCTGCTCAAGGTAACTAGGAGGAATTCAATTCACTTTAGTGCATTTACCACCAATGAAAAAGCATTGGCAAGCCAAAAGCAAGACACCACATGTGAATAGATATCTAATAGATAATAGAGTACTTCCTCAGCTGATTAATCACAGTGTATGAAGACAATTGTTTTGTACTACAAGATTTCTAAGGTGTTGTGTTTGAATATGCAAATTAGGCATTATCTGATTAAATATGCACTGATTTGCATACATTTCCACAAAATAAATCTGAACATTGGATAAAGCCGGGTTCAAAAGACATCTCTTTCTATCACTCTATAAATTAGAAAATACTGTCAGCAGCCAGAAATAAATCTATATAATGACATAGAAACAAACCCTCCTGTAAAACTCATCAGAATATAGATAGGAATAAAATCTGAAAGTTTGATGTATTTAAGTGCTTACTGAAGTGGAAAAAATGTAAACTCATTTTGAGAAAAAAACCTTTAAAGATTTGTGTTGTAATTGAAATATACAGATGCAGATAAATAAATGTGTAAAACAATGTTTTTTCCTATAGTGTCTTGTCTTAAATGATAAGTTTAAAGATGAGAGCAATGATAAGACTCTTGGGGTTTTGTAACACTAGCGACACTTACTCGTCTGTCCTGTAGAGGGCCAGGGCATGTCCCGTGAAGTCAATGACGTCCTGGCCTAAGTCAAACTTCTTGTACACGTCTCCCATTGTTGTGAGTTTGGGATCAACGCCTTCAAAAGTCTTGGGGTCGTTCTCATCAAAGTTGGCCACAAAAACTAGGAACTTGCGGAAACGTCTCTTCTCAAACATTCCCATTAGGTCTAAGCAACACATGTCACGGGTCAACTAAATGAATCTGCAATTTTATCAAAAACAATCATTCTCGATTTAGTCCTAGAGACAATAAAACACTAGCTGGACGTACTTGAAGCCAGTGCCTCTGTCTCAGTAGAGGGCACTTTGTAGATTTTTCCTCCTTTATACACAAAGCTTCCCTCAACCACTTTGAAGTCAAGATATCTGGTCACTTCTGTGTATAGAAGCATCTTAACTAACTGACCTTAAGGAAGAAAACAATGACAAAATGCAGTGGTACATTATTATTCAGAATATTATAAAAAATTACAGACTTGCATGAATTAAAGGACAACAATCTAATCCAAAAACATGTTTTGAGCAATATTATCACACCAACTATCATGTTACTTAAGTTTTTACCATTGGCCATTAAAAATTTAGGAATAAGATCCACATTCCAGTCTCTTCCCCGGCCCATTGACTCTGGGGGGCTGTCTGAAATCCCAAATCTCTTATAGAGCTGAGAGAAAAGCATGTAAAATGTGAGTGCATGTGTAAGTTTAAAAAAAAAAGTATTTTATATTAATATAAATATAAACATTAATATTAAAATAAAATATTAATTTGTTAAAATACATGGCTACAAATAGCAACATTTATTCTGGCAATTATACAGCTATAGTAAACATGTGCAATATCAAGCAGACATGAGATTGGAGTAGTGACAGTGGTAAATGTGAAGCATCCTCACCTCCTCCAGGGGTGTGATGGAGGAACTTTCACCACCGTAGTATGGATTTCTGTCCATATGCAAAACTTTCTTCCCATTCACAGACATTATCCCAGAGAGAATACATTCCTACACAAACATCATTTAGTTGAAATAATCGGTCATGGATATATATATAAAAAAAAAAAAATTATATTCATCTTTTGACATGGCAGCGTGTATCTATCCATTGCCTTGACTTCCGTGTTAAACACTGGGATGGATGCGAGTCACCCCACCCTACTAGTGATGGAAAGTGCGATTCATTTCCGCGAATCGGTTCTTTTGAACAGTTAACGGAGCGCTTCGAAAACGAATTATTCTGATTCGTCTACGTCATTCTTACATCCTAGCGTGACCTATTAAATGTTTTGAAGTTTGATTAACAACTGTGTTTATTGTAATTTTGTGTGTTCCAATTCCGTTTGTTGCAGCCATGACATAAAACAGCAATAATTTAGAACCTAAATATAATTTACAGTTACATTAAACAATACTATAATTTGTTTACATCTTAGCTGAAGTTTTACATCCAACTATTCTTGTTTGAAAACTTCCGTATAATTAAGTCGTAAATACATGTCCAGGAGGTATTTATAAAACTTCTACTATTCGGCTATTAATGAGTCAACGACCGAAGAACCTCTCAGATCGATTCACTGAAAAGAACCGACTCACAAGAACAATTCGTTCACGAATCCAGCATCGCTACACCCAGCCCACATTATGAGCCGCAGCCCAAATCAGCCACTATCCTCCATGAGGAAAATAGAGGAAACGTTTGATAAAAAAACATTTTGTTTTATGTTTTTATTATTATTATTAACAATACTGTTTTTGCACGCATGTAACCAATGTCAAGCTCTCACGTTTGTAAAATTGGGCTCTTTAGATTATAAAAATAACAAAAATAAATACTCACTAAACCCAGAATTACAGGCAGACAGTGAACTAACATCACTTAAGTACAATACAGCCTTTACGTTGGCAAACCATAAAAGGCAAAATATCCGCAATAAATACATATATTTACCCTATTTCGACGCCCGAACAAACGGGATACCTGATGCCACTCCTTAGAACCAGACACTGTGAGAAGAATCATTCATTACTTTTTAATAACCGCTTTCACGTCAATGTAACGATGCAGCCTCAATGGCTTTGAAAATTCGGGGGAAGGTAGATTTGCGATGGATTGCACTCATATTCATGCAGAAATTGCGAGAAATGCTGGCTCACTAACGTTACACAGACACAGTACACTACTGGTCCAAAGGATGCGTCAGCAATAGGCCGTCGGGTTCAATCTAACGCAAAGCATCTATTCGTACAGCCACATCTATAAGTATCCGCGCATCCATCGGCAATATCTTAAACTGTTTCCAAAGCGAGCGAGTCATCAGTGACCCGAATGCGTTACTCACTGTGAGTCCGGTGCCCAATACGATAACATCATATTCCTCATCCATGTTGTATTACAGTGTATCTCCCGTCTTTAGCCAAATTTCCGCTGCAAAAAAAATCTGCAAAACGGTGTTGATGCAACAAAATATTTATGAAGAACCAGTCTGTTGTCTTATTAGCGGCAAAAACGACCACTTTGGAAACAATTATCGCTCAAATAATTTGATACGTATCACAATTGATCACTGACTGTTGGGCGACCGGCGAGAACAACCAAAGATGGCCCTGACCGCAGCACGAGCTCCAGCGGTGCGGAGACGTTCGCGAAATAATATAGTGCAACTCCCTAAACGGAGATGATCAATATTGCTGTGAATGTCATCAACCCAGAGTTACAATTCAGCCGTAAATATAAATTATTTAAAAATATCAACGCTAATTCACATCCTGGGTAATCTTATTGAATACATGTTGACTACGCTCGGTGGCACTTTCATTTCCCCATCTTACATCTGAATGGCACAGGGCACAGGGCGCAGTCACAGTACCAGATATCCCTCCGCCGACAACACTGGATGATGAAGCCTCTCTCAATAATTCGTGAATTAACGAATGATTAATGATTAAGATCAGATCTGTTTTAGTGTTTTGCAAACGAATATTTCCACGTATATATCAACATACTCATAATAATATGTGATCTGTCAGTTATTAAAATAAGCGTGATTTAAAATGCGATCTATGATAGAGACTGCCTGTCAATATTTAAGCCCAATAAAGTTGTCCTGAAATTACAGCGTCATCCCAATGCATTCCAGGTGTTTAGAGACAAATATGCTAACTTTACATTGAGTATTAAGAAGCATCTCTATGCAGTCTTTCAAGACAAAGGTAGTTTTTGCTGAACTGTTATCAATTTAATATTTTTATAGGTAATAGCGAGGATACATTTGGATTCTGCAGGTAGCATAAGGGAGACAAACGAGCTAGATTGTTAAAATGAACTTCACTGTGGTAAGACAGACAGACAGACATAGATAGACAGATAGATAGATAGAGAGATAGAGAGAGCGATAGATAGATAGATAGATAGATTGATTGATTGATTTACATTACATTTACATTTAGTCATTTTGCAGACGCTTTTATCCAAAGCGACTTACAATTGGGGAATACATGCGATTCTTCTTAAAGAGGCAAACAGACACAGGAAGTGCTCGTAATACCAAGTTACAGGCATTGTTCAAATAAGTACAATAAGACGTTTTTTTTTTTTTTTATTTAGGATAGATAGATAGATAGATAGATATATTGTGAGACCATATAAAGTTCCAAATCGAACTTAAATCTAAAAGTTCATTTTTTAACGTTTGTAATCATTATGGCGTTTTAAATTGAAGATGATTTACAGAGGCTGGATGTTATTTTTCTTGCTGGCCTAGCAAATAATGCAAATGTAGTTGGTTTATTCATATGATGTTCGGCGTTGCGACCATAGACTGTATAACGCTGCATCTCGCGCCTGCGCACTGTTCAGAGCACGTGAACGAATCGAGTCAGAAGAGAATCACATGATTGAAGGGGAAAAAAAACAGTCACATGATCATCAGCCATTCACGTGACTCTCCTGCAGCATGACGGAAGTAGGAATGCGGCGCAGTAGTCTCTCAACAATGGCCTTCACGTCGGTTTTATTATTTATCTGCTCGACTTATAGCTGTTATGCTCAAGCGCCTCTGCTCATGTGGACCAGTGAGGGGTACGTCACACGTTTGTCTCTTGAATATTGCTTTCTGATGGACTTCTATAGTAACTCCAGAACACTGCTGTGCTTTTCTTATATATGTTCAGGCAGCTAAATCAGCTAACAGTGACATTCAAAAGCGTTTGGTAGAGCTTCATTACAGTGGATAAGGTTTCAAGGCAGCCTGATTCTGTTGAGGGGAGTCGCAAACTGAATGATAACTTTGTCAATACAGGTCCAACATGCCACATCTGGCTCAACCAACAGCTGGCCAGACAGTGTCTGGTGAGCAGCTGGCGTCTTATCTGAAATCTGCCTTGTCCATTGCTCCACACAATGTGCTTCTCTTCCTACAGGATAAGGTAAAATGCCCCACATGTTTACAATGGGGGCTAAAGTAATGTCCCTGCATTGCGTTCTTGTGTTTTATCTGCTATTTAGAATTTTAAACATTTATACAGTATTATCTAGTTATATTAAGATTTAAATTGATTGAAATATATGAAAGTGAACAATGTGGTGTATGTTGGAAAAATGTCCTCATAAAGGTAATAATGCCCTTTAAAATCAATTCCACACATTGTCCTTATTGTCCCTAAGTTAATTTCTGACATTATTGAAAAGCTTTACAATGGGATCAGTGTAGTAGGAATGTATTTTACAATGTGGAACTATTAGTGAAGTAGTTTCCTCCTCTCACACTGATATTTTTATTCTCATAGTTATTGGACTTGTCAGTATAGTGTGACTTTGAGCCACACTCTTACTTCCCCATTCATCTTCCCTTGGACATACTAGGATTTCATTACCCTTGTACAATTTTGATCATCTGCAGACTCAGTGATACTAATATAACCAACTTTTTGCCTGCTCTCCCCACTTTATAGCTAAGTATGGAAGACTTCACTATGTACGGTGGAGTGTTTGGCAACAAGCAAGACAGTGCCTTTTTGAATGTAGAGGTGGGTGTGCTCTGTTTTTTTATTCTGGCGGGATAGCACAACTAGATTTCTCTCAACATTCTCGTCAAAATTTCTCTCTCTGTATTAAAGTCAGCACTTCAGACGTCCTCCAATCCCCTGGTGTTGCCAGCCCTGGACTGGTCTGCATCACATTCCATCCTGGAACTCCTCCAGGGAGAGCTGGGTATCCCAGCAGTCCAGATCGACCCCAGCACCCTGAAGGAAATCAAGCTGAACACCGCACAGCCTTCACTACTGGCTGTCCATCTCCCTTACACTGCTGGGTAAGATGTTCTGCAATGTTATTTATATTATACAGTGTCTTTCAAAAAGGGTTCAGATTCTTTTCATCTGAGTAACTTTCTGCAACACAGAAACTAAAATATAGCCTTTTCAGCTGTTTCAAAGAATACATTCTAAAACAAAGTCTTGCCAAAGTGATACATTTTGTGTTTCAGAGCTTTGAAATAAAACAAACACAACATTTCAGTAAAATGAAGGAATTGATTAATGTCTGAATGCTTTTGCAAGGCACTCTGAATTTCAATAATAATGTTAAAATGTTAACTTCCTTTTTTGTACTGTTGATATTGTTAAAACCTAAAAATCATTTAGTTTTTGAAATAAAGCTGAAATGAAGTATAAATATTGGAGGAAAACAGAAGCATAAAAAATCTAAATGAAAATTAGATATGTTTCCTTGGCGACAACAACAATAAAAAAAATAACTGAAAGCTAAATCTAAATGTAAAAAAAAAAAAAAAACGAATGAAAATGACAAAAGAGTACAATTAGACTTGTGCCGGTATTCGGTAATGCGATATTTGGTCTTTATAGTTCTTTTGCACTTTAATCTGTGTAAAACTTTTAACTTTATAAATTTTTCTGTATTGCTTTATTGCATTTAAATGTTCAGTTATTTTTGTTATAAGAAAAAAGTTATTAAACCTGTTATACTGTATTATGACAGCACTTGTTTAAAACTAAAGTCAATACCGTGATAATACCGTATACCGTGATTAAAAGCAGTAGCAATTAATCGCAACATGAGAATTTGATACCGGCATATCCCTAAGTACAACAAAATTACTAAATGAATAACACTGAAAATGTTAAAATAAAAGGTAATTTAAATGTTAATAAATACTATAATAGTATATAAATAACACAAAAATAACACTGTTTTTATTTTTTGAATGTCAGGGATCAGACAAAGGAATTACTTTTGAAAAATGGTGAGTAGTTACTTTTTTTTATCAGGTTTGATAATGGTTTTAGTATGATTGTGTATTGCTTTTTATGGTTTGATTCTTTCTGACTTGATGCCATGTGTTTGTCAGTATTGTTGTACTTTACTATAGTATGTAAGATATCTTTTCTGATTAGATGCGATCATGGGAGAGGTCCTCGACATGTTCAAATCTCAGGATGTGCCTTACACCGCTGTATACACCGGCCTGAAGCCTTCTAGAGTAAGTGCTCACTTTTTCTGTACATTTACATGAATGCATTTCAAAGATGCTTTTATCCAAATAAGGAAAATCACAAGGACAAAGTTAGTATGTACTGCACTTTGTTCTCTCACATTATGTTCCTTTTCATTTGACACAATCAATTCACGACAGCTTTGATGAAACCCTGAACAAAAATGTCTTTTGTCATTTATCCTTCTTTTGTAGGTCATTGAGGACACCCCTGTAATGGCAGGACATTCTGTGGGCCGATCGCTACTTCAGGCACCACCAGAGTCACCTGTGAAACCCCCACTTGTCGTCAACAACACAGAGGGGCAGCCCTGCATCCTGCTGTGGGCCGACACTCTCCTCGCTAGTTACTCTGGGAACCAGGTTGATCTGGCAAGAGACATTTTTAATGGTTCTGCTGACGTCACGGCTGGTTCTGTTTGCAATGAAACACTGTCACGGTCAGAATCATAATAAAGCAGAATCCAGTATACATTAATATATTTTTCAATGCTTTTCTCTTGAAAGTATCAAATATTTTGTTTTTCAGACTCGTCCTTAATTACCGAAATGTTCTGAATTTCCGATCCCTCCAGCTTATGTGAGTATTTAACACACAATCCTTCATTGATATGTATTATTTGTGATTTTGAAGGATCGATACACAGTACTGATCGGACAATGCAATACTTTCGCAATATTTTGAACAGATAATACATTTTTTTTAATGAATAAACATTGGTCCCCATGTACTGGCCAATAGCAACACCAAAATAGAAATATTCATGCTTCTGCTTATCTTGAAAACAAAAACAAACCCCCCCCACAAAATTATGTTAAGCACATATACTTGCACGCTGTGCCTGACTTAATACATTAAAAATGTAAAATGTATTTTATGTTTTTTATTACTAATTATTAATAAACATGGAAGCTCAGTTGTGTGATTTTTTTTTTTTTAATTTTATTTTACCATATTTAATCCTAAATTAAATCTTTCTAAACTTGAATTTTGGGTGAAGTACACCAGGCGTCAAAAGTTAGGATTAAGATTTTTTTTCTTGGAAAGACGCTCACCAAGAAATGTATTTGATCAAATGATTGAAAATCAGAATGATTTCTGAAGGATCATGTGACACTGAAGACTCGAGTAATGGCTGCTGAAAATTCTGCTTTGCCATCACAGGAATATATTAAATTTTAAAATATGATAAAAATGTAATATTATAAAATATATTTTATAATCAAATAAGCTTTTGAAACTATTAATATTTAATATTTTTACTTTTTATTGTATTTTGATAGAAAAATACTGGAGACTTTAAAAAACATTTAAAAAATTGTAATTATTTAAAAGATTTGGCCAATAGTGTATACATGATATATATTGTTGTATTTTTGTAACAATATGTGACCCTGAACCACAAAACCAGTCATAAGGGTCAATTTTTTGAAATTGAGATTTATACATAATCTGAAAGCTAAATAAATAAGCTTTCAATTGATGTATGATTTGTTAGGATAGGACAATATTTGGCCGTGATACAACTATTTGAAAATCTGGAATCTGAGGGTGCAAAAAAAATCAAAATACTGAGAAAATCGCCTTTAAAGTTGTCCAAATGAAGTTCTTAGCAATGCATATTACTAATCAAAAATTAAGTTTTGATATATTTACGGTAGGAAATTTACAAAATATCTTCATGGAACATGATCTTTAATTAATAGGATTTAATTAATATCCTAATGATTTTTGGAATGAACGAAAAATCGTTTTGGCTATTGCTAAAAATATACCCAAGCGACTTGAGACGGGTTTTGTGGTCCAGGGTCACATATATTGTCACACCTTTAATTTGTGATACTTCCCCAAAGCTTCTCTGTGCGCAAGATCTTCTTTCCTGTATCTGCTCGCGACTGGTCGGTGATGGAGCAGGTGGTGCTGGAGTATGATGGGCAGAGGGCCATCTTTAACGCCAGCGGTGGGATCTACTCTCCTGCAGAGTATTCTTTCCATTGCCAGAGTGTAAGCAGCGCTCAGAGCCCCCTGCTGGTGCCCCGCAGTGCTACAGACAACGCTACCATGTGGACGCTGTCCTTCACTGATTTTCAGGTACTATATCAGCGCGCTGTTTTGGACTGGTAGTGTTAAACAAAACTCATATACAGTATACCACAAAAACTCCACATTGATGCATCATGTTTCCCACAGATCCAAGGCTTCAGCGTTACTGGTGAAGACTTCTCGTATGCCAGCGATTGTGCAGGATTCTTCACTCCGGGGATTTGGATGGGCCTGCTGACCTCTCTGCTCATGGTGTTCATTCTTACCTACGGCCTACACATGATCATGCAGGTTCGCACCATGGACCGCTTTGATGATCCAAAAGGCCCAGCGATTTCAGTGCCTCAGAGTGAGTGATTTGAGCCGAAAACAACCAAAAACTGTCATGTTGTCAAAATATCATTGATTTGTATGTATGTGAAAACTGATGTGGTTGGTAATCAGGAATTTATGGATCTAGCATGAGTGTTTTTAAGAGTATGTATATTCAAAGGCAAACCATATTTTTCAAATTTATTTTGATGTCTTGTAGAAAGTGGTGAAATTATTTACATCTCTCCCTTATTACATTTGTAATTATTTAATATGGGTATTTTACAATAGGGTTCTATACATTACATGCACTAGCTAACATGAAACTGAACGATTCCTTTACAGCATTTTTAATATTAATATATATATATACATGTCATATACACATATATATATGAAGGAACATGTGTTACCACTGAATATTATATGTATTTTGTATTTGTAAATTAACATTGGTCTAGATTAATAAATGCTGCAAAAAGTTGTTCATGATACCTAATGCATTAAATTGAACTTACACATTTCAGTACACATACAGTGCACATGCATGTTTCTCTGTCTACTGGTAAACTACAGACTTATGAATGCAATAACGTTTTTTACACGTTTTGCATTAGAATATCTTGTGCGGTTTTTTTTGGACTACTGTTATTTATCTTGTCTTATAAATCTGGTGGTTTGTTTCTCATATTGTACTGGATTTGTATATGTGTAGTTGTACATTTAAAAGTTGCCAATATTTAATTATGCCAAATGTACAATTTAAGTGCCTAAGATGGACCAGTCACTGCATGGAGAATGAAAAGTGCTAAATTAAAATGCAAATGCAAATTAAGCTAAATTATGATTTATTGGTTATTAGACTAATAAAAGTGCCAAAATTACCTAGCATTCGTGTTTTCAATGGATAAAATGTTTTAATTAATTTGAGATGCCCAAAATTGTGTAAAAATACAAAGATTGAATGGTTTATAGGAGACGTAAATCTGTTTATAAATGCAGTGCAACTTTTGCTGTTGGCTGTGCATCTTGACGTAATGTTAATGGAGTGACTATATTTGTTAAAAAGCTCATTGGAGCAAAATTGTCCATTCAAAATATGCCATGTGCAGTAGGATTCATGTTGAGTGTTATTTTACAATGTGTTTTGTTGGGCATTGTCGTTAAACATACGTTGTATATTCTACTGATTCAAATGAGCAGTTCATGTCACTAGATTTGCAATCAGAGCAGTGCATTGCAATCATGTTATAAACATCCATTTTTCTATTTGAATGATTAAACTACAACTAAATATCTCAACTGATTGCTCCTTGTTAACAATGCTTTTAGGGGAAATGCAACATGGTTTATTGGCAGCCTTGTGATACAGAAAGCAGCTGTACTGGTTGACTATGAAATGTATCTACTGATGGAGCTACTGGTCTTGCAAAATCTAATTTTACAACATCAGACTTTGTCAAACAGAATCAATGCTTAAGTCTGCAATATCTAAGAACTAAAATAAAATGAACAAATGGAAACCGTTATCAGTTAAGAACCCAAGTGTTCTGTTTTGATTGTGGAGCTTTTGTTTTTAGACTTTCCAAGCACGCAGACATCTCAGTGAAATACAGAATTTCAAGAAGTGGATTTATATTTGATCAACTTTGCTGATTTCCAGAATTAGCACTGTCACAGAGTCATGCCAGTGCATTCCTAGTTTAAAGTGGCACAAAAAAATAGTGGTTCAAAACCATTCCAAACAACACCTAATTGCTACAATAAAACAATATGATACATCTTTGAAAGTGCAAGATAAAAAAACAATAAAACAATTAAACAGTAAATTTTAACACACAAACGAAAAAAAAAACACTCATTTGGGGAAAAAATTTTGCTGTTAAAATTAAATTACTATTTGACCAATTTAACAAAAATGGCTGAAAATATTAGCTCAACTAAACTAGACGATTTTACATGACTGCAATTTGGCAAGAGCAAGTTAAGATAGTATAAATTATTGAAATTAGCAAACTTTTCCAAAAGGGTGAAAAAACACAAAGCCCAATAACAAAAAGCAATTAGGCCTCTGTAGGTATTTGGGCTTAACTACGTTGGAAAAATCTGTAAATATTAATAAAATAGACAAAAGTAAATGACGTTTAACATCACAGAAATGAAAAGTTTACCAAATTGTCTTTTCTTCATTAGATCGAAGTCTGTAATCGACCAATAGCAAAGCATTTCTAATGTAATTAGAACCTATACAAATCCTGCTCAACACATACAGCTAGATAACCCTTAACAAAAACCATAGAATGAAAAGGCTTCAGCAGGATTTAACAGAACTTTCAATTTAAAATCTGTGCTGCAAATCACATTCTGCAGTGTATCTACTGGAAGGGTAATATACACGTTTTATCCAAATGAAAAGTAAGAACAGGCAAAATGAAAACAAAGCCTTAAGCATTGTACAACATTTGGTTTTGTTTGTACAATGTGGATTCCCAAATACTATGAAATAATTACAAATTCAGACATTCATCTCTTTTAAATTTGATCAGACCTTCTACATAAATATTCATGCTAAATGCAGCCCTCGACTAAATCAGTGAGGTAAGGGACAGTCTGCACTTTTTTGTCATGAATCAGATGTTCTCAGGAAGAGTGATCACTGTATTAACAGTGTTAAAAATTAAGAAATGACAAGCATACACTTTATAAAAGTGACTTATGTGAAGATGACAGATCTGTTTTAGAGTACAGAATGGGAAAAAAGTTAGAGACTGCTAGAAAGGAGTTTTTCCAAATTAAGCTTGTCTTTTTAAAGCAACATTGGTTCTGATTATGGAGGAATTTGTTGCGGGGAATCAGTCCGCCTCTTGCCGGGTTCTGGGAAGTGCGTATATATAGTTGCAGGATTCTTCACTTGGATTTCATGCAGGACAACTTCATGAAGACCTGTAATTAGAGGTGCAAAAATTCACAAAGAGTAACAGAATAATGCATGCCATTAATTAAGAACAAAGAATGAATTATATAAATGATAATATTCTATATTTTTTAAAGGTATGAAACCTGGTAAGTCCCAGTTAGCTATAAGAAAGAATAAGTGTCTTGAAGACACTCGGGGTAGTTGATGAATAAATGACAATATGCATATGCATGTATGGATATGCTAAATACATGATGAGGAAGAACCTTCAAAACTCAAAAATCCTCCACAATCCTAAAGTCTTAACTGACTTGTTCTGAAATTTTTATATTTTGGGATATTTAAATGGCAATGATGGCTTGTATGATGTTCAGAAACTCTTTTGTGACGTTACAAGGAGGAAGTAGGAGAAGACTTTTTGTCTTCGAGAAAGCTGCATAGTTCCCATGGTCCTTACCAGGTATGTGAGGGAGTTATAATCCATCCTCGTCCTTTTTTTCAACCTTTTCATGGTCTGAGCTGCAATCCAAAAGTATGGTAAAGGTCAGCATGTGCATAGACTAATAGCTGGGTATATTAAACCTAAATCCAGCACACATTTACAAGACCTCACCCCACTCTTAAACACAGAAAACCCCTCTACCTGGGGGAATAAACAAAACGGCACACTGCTTCCCATATAGACTATCAGCATAAAGGGTTGCAAAAATGAAGAAATTTCCACAAGAATTTTTCAAGGGAAATTTTTTTTCATTTGAATTTTTATGTACAATGAAGCATTTTGTGGTTTGATACATTATTGCATTTATATTTAATCACCTGCTCAAAAAGGTGACAGTACACTTTGTCAGCATTCTCTGCTGAAAGGGATTTAAACATTTCTTAAATAATCAAATAAACAACCAAGATGAATCTCAACATTATGTATTCTGATTTGAAGCAAAAAAGCAGGATACAGAATGCCCATGAAGCAATGTGAATGACATGCCTAAAACAAAAACAATACAACTGACTATAAAAATACATCTGACTGCAAAATATTCAGAAATATGCATCTATCTGTTAATATAAGTACTTTTAAGGTATGTTCCAATCACCTGATGGTGAAAAGAACAGATTTTGAAAAAGTGAACGTCTAGAGTATTCACAGCCAGGGGCCCTGTGAATAGGATCACAGCTTGAGAGGGGTAGCTGGAGGGATACGGACTCAATTATGTCATTTGCAATGCTTCATGGGAGCAGAGGTTTCTTTGAAAGGTGGCGTTCTCTGCAGGATTATGGGTAGTCTAGTTCTACACCAGGAAATAGTCACCACCTTTGCAGCTTTGAGCTGCAATCCAAAAGTCAGCATGTGCATGATAAACAGCTGGTATATTAATCCTAAACCTCAAAGGCATCTCCATTTCCCATGGAAAATGTGTGGAAATTTCACCCGAACCTTCGACCTGTTTTGCTAACCATGAATGCAAAGTATTAATTTATTACCCAATATGACAGTGTGAGAACAAGAGCCTAGAAAACACATAAGAAGCAACTGAGAGTGCAGATAACTTACCGTTTCTTGAAATACTTGAAATACACAAGGCACAGAACTCCAACCACACCCGCTAAACAGAAAGGAATTGCATTACAAATGATTAACCTTGATTAAAATAAAAAAGGATCAAATTCTTATTCTAGTAACATCAGAATCCTACATGAAAGCACAACAAAACACATTTTCTTGAATATTTTACAAATAAAACAAAACCGATACTGTGACAACTGACAGGGGGATTGGCCAAAAATGAATTCATTTCCTGTGATGTTGTTAGTGGGAGGATGTTATTTTAAGTGTTCTCAGGCTCTTTCCTATCAGACAGTGAAGCCACCAGAAGCGTTCAAGTGGCCATACCGCTATTCCCTATCGACAGAGGGCATCATTGACTGATAGCCAAACCACTGATCTAAAAATCACCTGATTTGCAGCGTATCAGTGGCACAGGATTATTTAATATACATGTATGTAAACTAATTGGTACTTAAGATGTTATCAGGAATGTTTATGGTCTTTTTGGCCAGGATAAGTGATATGTTGAAATTGTTAAGGTGGGTGTGTCTGCTGCACACTACTGACAGGTAATTTACCAAACACAAAATGTATTTATGAACGTACACTACCAGTCAAAAGTTTGAGAACAGTAAGATTTTTCATGTTTTTTTTTTTTTTAAAGAAGTCTCTTCTGCTCACCAAGCCTGCATTTATTTGACCCAAGGTACGTCAAAAACAGTAACATTTTGAAATATTTTTACTATTTAAAATAACTGCTTTCTATTTGAATAATTTAAAATGCAATTTATGCCTGTGATTTCAAAGCTGAATTTTTAGCATCACATGATCCTTCAGAAATCATTCTAATATACTGATTTGCTGCTCAAAAAACATTATTATTATTATTGTTAAAAAAAGCCGAGTAGAATTTGTTAGTTTCTTTGATGAACAGAAAGCTCAGAAGAACAGCATTTATCTGAAACAGAAATATTTTGTAACATTATAAATGTCTTTATCACCTTTGATCAATTTAATGCATCCTTGCTAAATTAAAAAGTATTTCTAAAAAATATATTTTATAACTTCTCCCCCCCCAAATAAAAATTATACTGACTCCAAGCTTTTGAATTATATAATGTATAATGTTACAAAAGCTTTTAATTTCAGATAAATGCTTATCTTTGCATTTTTTATTCATCAAAGAATCCTGAAAAAATGTACTCAACTGTTTTAAATATCGATAATAATTAGGGGTGTAACAATGGATCGATACATCGATCAAATGTCTAACGATACGATGTATCGATGTCATGCATAAAATATCGATATCTGTAGTATCAGGGTTCTCACTCACCAAATGTCAAATTCCCTGACTTTTCCGACTAAAAAGCTGAATTTCCATGACCTGTAATGAACCGAAAAACAGGCCTCTGTTGTGCTGAGCACCGAGCAGACAAAAACCAGCCACAGACAGTATTTTAAATCCATCCATCTGCAAGCTTTATTTACTTGTTCCAGACGTTTTAGTATAAAACTAAGTTAAACACGCATACACACTACTTTTTTTTCTTTCTTTCTGCTTTTACCCATTAAATGCACTTTGATATTTTTCTGTACTATTTCTACAGAAATTAATTGATGGTTTTTATGCTGTCAGGGGTTAAACGCCCTGAAGGATTTTCTGTTTGTCATCAAGTTCGTTACTCAAGTCTTTTTATTTCTTCACATTTAGTTTTTGCTTCTCTGTCGTTTACTTTTAACACCCAGTCTTTGAAGTGGTCATTTTGTAGCCAAAGCTCTTGAAATGTACATTTTCCTGGCATGTTTGCCTTAGTTAACAGGTACAGCCTGGTGACTGCATTTGACTTCAGTGATTGCCAGTTGACAATAAAATAAAAATAAATATAAAATAGTTGGGAATAAAATGGCGCTGAAAAACGGCTCAATGCTAAGGATTTTTTCTTTTTGGTTCAAATTATTACTTGCCCTGCCAACATTTTCACTGTCCCTGCCACAAAAATAAATAAATAAATACAATAAAAACAAAATAGTTGCTGTTATCAGTTTTTTTTTTATCTATGTTATCTTGTATTCTAATAAATAAGCTTATATGACACTAGTATTTTAGATACCAATAAAATGTGACAATTCTCGATTTCAATTTTAATACCACAGCAAAAACCACTAGCCTAACAAATATAAAGTTCAAACATTATTAAAGACAAGTGACAGCCAGTAAATAAGAACAAATTGTTATTACAATAATTATACCCAGTGCTTGAAGTGGAAAAAAAGAAGGTACCAGTACTCACCCCCAGACCAACCCCCTTATTTTTTTTTTATATTAAATAAATAAGTACTTTTTAATTTTCAGAATTCACAATGTATATATAGTGCCACAATCAATCAATAATTAAGTAAACGTTTTCAATACCAATAAGCATAAGTTGAGCTGCGATACCAAACAGGACCACAAGGAGCTGCCAAAGACCACTACAGCTCCCGCCTTGACCTACCTGTCCTGATCCATTCAGAATCACTAAACCACTGACCACCGCAAATCTAAAACGCCTTCAGCCAGCATCCATTATAACACTCTTGCTTTTAAGCCAAATACACGCTGAAAAGAATAATTTACTGACATCTGGACGCAGTTTTGATGTTGTTTGAATTCGCTTACTGGATCCTTGGACTTTCCAACTCCAGGAGTTTACCGGTTTAAAATGATGTGATCGCAAAAACCTGCTCCTTTTAGTTGTTAAGGTGTTGTTTTTGTTAGCCTATAATGTACTGATTAAAATTAGTAATCAATAATTAATTATTATTCTACCTCTCCTGACAATCTCTCGCTGAAGTAGACCGAATCTGCTTGCATTCATTCTTGTGAATTGTCGAGATGAGAGGTGACCCCTCCTGGTAGTGTGATATATTGGCATTTCTAATCACCCAGACACTGATGTTTTGACTCTGAGTACCGGCAACATGTCAGAAGTGCCGGTATGCTAAAGACTAAAATATAGAAGTGCCTGCGTACCGGCCCACTTCAAGCACTGATTATACATTTTAATGCTGACAACCATGTTATTAGCTTGGCATGTGGTAGGAAAAAAGTTTGCACACTAGTGTTCCAATAAGCCAATTTGAAACTCTCCTGTTAATTTATTTATTTTATTATCTTCTTTTAATATACGTTATGAACAGAACTGTGATATTTCAAACATACAGAAATACTTTAGCGGAGGTTAGGGTTAGGGTAACCCTAACCCTAAGGCGGAGCGGTGTTTCTGATATCAGTGAGCGAGGAGTGGAGCGGGAAATGGTGAACCTGGAGCGGAGTGATTATTAAATGCTCGGAGCACGGAGGGGAAATTGTTGCCGCTCCACTCTGCTCATATACTCTGCTCGGGATAGCTGTGAGAAGTTTTCTGCGCACACACATCCGATGCACACGCACACAGACAGCGGAAGTTACACAAAACTGTTTATATAATTTTAAATATGGATATACATACATATTTTTACAAAAACGCATTGATTTGCTACAGGAGGCCTTTATTCACCCCCGAGCCGTGTGACGCACATTTTAATATGGTTAGATGCACTTTATTTGACTACTTTTGGACTGTTAAACAAAAACACCCGCACATGCCATTATAAAGCTTGGAAGAGCAAGAACAATTTTTAATATAACTCTGATTGGATTAGTCTGAAAGAAGAAAGTCATATACACCTAGGGTGACTGGAGGGTGAGTAAACATGGGCTAATTTTAATTTTTGGGTGAACTAACCCTTTAACGTAAACACTAACAGTATTGGATCTGTGCTTTCGTTCTTAAAGTGAAAGCAGTCTAACAATAAACCCGTCAAAGAAAACAAAATCTCTCACTGCTTTTGTAACTTAAATAAGGATTCATCTATATTTAATTTATACACTTAAGACTATGCAGGGTTATTCTACATATAATTATTTACATTTCTGTACCTTAATATTTCTTTTGGACCTGAAAAACACTGTTTATTTGTGTCTTAGTTCTACTGTATTTATTTTCTGCTATTGCTTGTAATTAATCTGTAGAAAAGATTCTTAGCACTGAGCCCATAGTAGCAGCCAAAAAAATAGAGTCTTAAATATTTTAAAAATCACAAAAATAAAGCTGTTAAAACATTTTTATCTACATTTACATTTTTTGTACAACTGGAGTTTTTGTTTTTTCCTAATGAGGATTTACACTATTTTACACATTGCACATTTCAGCATAGAAGCCTGAAAGATTTTATTGACTGTTGTCATGTCATAAGATTACTGATCTTATGTGTGACATTGATTTTTTATTTTTTTTTTATTGTTCCAATTATTTATTTTTCATTGTTATTTAAAAAAAAGTGTAGGCCTGTTTTTTTTTTTTTTTTTGAATGTCTCAATTGATGTACAGTATGTGGAAATTTCAGAAAAATGTTCAAGTTATATAATTTGGTTGCATTTGTGGGTTAATAAAAACGTAGATGGTTGTTTAAAATGGGTACATAATATCATATCAGTAAATCGACTGATATATTCCTGAATCGAATCATATCGAAATCGCATTGTAGAATTTTTTGAGGTATCAGCAAATATCGTATTGCTGGGTATGAGAATCGATATCATATTGTATTGTGACGAACCCTCCAGTTTACACCCCTATAATAATAATAAAAAAAAAAAAAAAGTTTCTAAAACAGCAAATCAGCATATTACGATGATTTCTGCAGGATCATGTGACACTGAAGACTGGAGTAATGATGCATAGCTTTGATCACAGGAATAATTAAATTTTAAAATATATTCAAATAGAAAGCAGTTATTTTAAATCATAAAAATATTTCACAATATTACTGCTTTTGCTGTATTTTGGATAAAATAAATGCAGACTTGGTGAGCAGAAGAGAATTTTTTAAAAAACAAACAAAAAAAAATCTTACCGTTCAAAAACTTTTAACTGGTAGTGTATTTATGCAGGAAATATTAAACATGAACATATATCTTGCATTAGTACTAGGAATTGATTTGAATATACAATAAACTAGGGTGACCACACGTCCTCTTTTTCCCGGACATGTCCTCTTTTTGGACCTAAAAAAAATGCGTCCGGCCGGGATTTCTAAATCGCTCAATGTCCGGGATTCAGCTTTTGCTTTCTATATTTCCATAGTCCATTCAAAACAGCGCAGGACTGTTTTCTTAATCCTGCTCCCAATTTCTGACCATTACCGCCTGCTTAGAAAACATTCTAATATTGAATATAATTTTCACGCATCAGGAAGCCGCTATCATATGCGGAGTGTTTAAATGGATTTGGATGCAGCTCGTGTTGGATGCAGGGTCGCCAAATCCACATTTTTTACACAGAATTGGGCTGATTTTAAACTGTTGCGGCTGGTTGATTTTCTCCCGTGGGTTAAAGGTTTGAAATACTGCATAAATTACATTTGACTGAAATGCTTGTATTGAAACATTTTGCATTGTACCATGATGAAACTGTGGTAGATTTTAAGTTTTGTGAAGGATGGCCACTGGTAGGAGGCCTTTTAGCTGTGTTTATGATCAATCTGCAAAATGGTGACTGTAAAATATGTATTTTTTTAGGTATCGAAATGACATATGAAATGAATACTAGTGAATACCAATATGGCGCCGCGGTGGCTTCACATTTTATGATGTCATGAGCAATCTATTTCTCTATTATAGAGCACTGGAACATGGCGAACATAGCGAACTAACAGCTTAGGGAATTGGATTTCTTTTTTCAGGCGAGGTTGTGGTCCCATCGAAACTTGCAAAGTTTTTCAGAATACAGGTCGCTTTTTATCATCTGAAACGTGCTGCAACTTACACAGTGTAATTGACGTTAAGCATGCAAAACGCATGCAAACGCACACATTTGGATTTATGCTCAATGAGAGAGGCATGTCAGTCCAAGTGTACATAGCACATTTCTCACACACCAGTAGATTCAGTTACAATTTAAACACATTTGTTTAGGCTTGACATTTATAAATGCTGTTAATAATAAATGCCACTATAATATACATTAGCTTTACTTTCAATTTAACAGTATTCAGAACAGAAAAGAAAAAAGTTTAAAGGATTTGTTGTGAAGTGAAGGGACGTAAAATACATGTTTATTATACATTAACATTTTTTTGTCTCAATGCTATCTTAGCCCAGTGTGATAATCAGGTGAGACTTATTATCCAGAAAACAGTCATTATCAAAAAGGAAAAATTTAAATCATATTCTCAGTTTCCTTGCATTTTGTATTATAAAAGATGAGCTGATCGATTGGATTTTTTGAAAAGAAAAAATAATCCTAACTGTTGTATTTTTTTAAATCCCTGGAACCAAACCCAGACATTTTAAAGGGGACATCAGATGAAAAATTCACTTTTGCTGTTTGGTGTTTGAACATAAATGTGTGTTGGCAGTGTGTGTACACAACCACCCTATAATGCTAAAAATCCACCCAGTGCTTTTTTTTTTTTTTTTAATCCCCTCAAATCATAACACTTTCTCAGATCAAGCCGTTCACAGATTCTTGGCTGTGTGACATCACACAGACCCAGGACGCCCCACGATTGTTGATTGACACTGGTGTTTCAGGATAGACCCGCCCTGAGTGAGCTGTAAACAGTGCGCCATTGTTTCGACGCCGGGGCAGGGACGTAGACAAGAATGTCTCCTAAGCGACTGAGGTGTTTTGTTGTTGGATGCAATCATGAACATAGCAGTCGTCATTTACTCCCGACATCAGAGCCGCTAAAGACGCAGAGGCTTACTTTTGTTTTTGAAGGGAATGTGTCCCCTGATCTACCTAAATGCGTCTGTTCATGCGAATCATTCGTGATCCAGCTTCATCTGGAGTGAGTATAAAATAAAGCAGTAAGTCCCAAGAAGCCGTGGTTTACAGTGAATTTATAACAGCTAAGGGGCGTTGTTAGACACGAGGCGGAGCGTAGCAAGGTTTCACAAAATAAAACAAAGCAAATTAAATGATATGAATAAAAACATTATTCATTATTATATTAAAAGCATATTAATTATTCCACCAAACAAACAACGTAGTTCCTCAGAAACAGTTGTGGTTGCAACAAAGTGGTTGCCGAGCAACACACTGACGCAAAGAGGTGTATGTTTGTAGAGTAATTTACAACAACTTCGAACACGGCTCAACCAATCAGAATCAAGGACCGGAACTATCCGTTTTATACGTTTTTTTAATGAATCTTTGCAAATCGCCTTTCATAATAATGTGCTAGTTAGCAAGTTCCGCGACGAATGCAGCTAAAGTTAACAGTCTAGAGAACGGCTCGTCACACCATGGAAGAGAGGGGCGTGGTGAGCAGAACTCATTAGCATTTAAAGGGACATGCACCGAAATGGGTCCCTGTGAACAGAGCTGTTTTTGACAAAGGTAAAAAGGGTGTCCTTTTACACTAGCATTGAGAAATTTTAACCAAAGTACACTTTTCATTAAAGTCCCCCTGTAGTCAAATATTTTATCCCTTAAAACTTATCTTTGATCATAAAAATTACATATTTAAATGTTTTTTCTTGTGAAAATAATTTTCTCATGCCTTATAATAGCTTGAATGTAACTCTACACCCTTGCCTAATTTACTATATGCGGATCTATGAATATGCAAATTTGTCCCGCCTCCACTCAGTCACGTTGTGTCCTAAAATGCCTTGAAGACTCGAATGCAGCCGTTTGTGATTGTTAATTTGCGCCCGCGAGCATACGCATGTGAAGTGCAGACACTGCTGCGGGAGAGGTGCGTCTGACTCCGGGCTACTTTTAAACTGTTGCCACGGGTTATAATGCAAGTTAGCGGTTCTAAATTCACATTAAACCACAGCTTCATGAGTTTTTTGGTCTAATTTATTTTTGGTTTTGTGCTGGTATTGGTATATTTTGCATGCTAGTGATAGGAATCGATCCCTTGACGTAATTGGTTATTGGTTTGTGACGTAGCAAACCGAGGGCTGTTTCAAACCGTATTTGGGTCAGTCTTTGGGAAACTACAGTTTTAAGGAGAAAATACTCCGCAATGGTGTTGATTAATAGATTGGCACATGGTTTGTCTAAAGGCATATTAAAAACCCCATATAGACAAATAAACAACATAAAAAACTTGATTTTCACTACAGGGGGACTTTAAGACCCTAAAGAATAATACCAACTTGTGGAAAAAGGGCATCTGATGTCCCCTTTAAAGCCCAACACTGCAACAACTTAACAGATTTTTTGTATTGAATAAAAAGAAGGTATAGGACATGTAGATTATTAGGTGAATTATGCAGAATGTGACTTACCCACACCACCTATACCAAGCATTGCTTTTGCCCATGTAGCTGCAAAAAAAATTAAATAAATAAATAAATTAAATAAGTAAATGAGTTGTATGGATTAAGACAAAATCAACAGCACAAGACATATCCTTGCAACCTATCATAAAATACAAATCACTTTGTAACCCTTATAACAAAATTAAACATAACCCAAAAGCAAACTGTCATCTAAAAGAAAGCTACAATGCCCAACCAGAAATATTATATGACCTGCAGAATGCTCAGAAACCAGCATATTATAGGATACATTGAATCTCATTTACAGGAATACTACAATTATCAAATATCATAATCCACCAGTTGCATACATTTCAGATCAAAAAGAACAAGGAGCCAAGGGTGACAAGAGGAATCAGCTCTTTATTGAATAGTATAGTAAAAAAGTAAAAAAAAAAAAAAAGTAATACTTACGCATACTTGAGTCTTCTGTGGAAGAAAAATACAGTTAGGAACGAGTAAAAACAGAGGACATTTTTAAAGATTCAAATAGATGGATAATCCAGATGGAGTAGATTATAAAAAAAAAAAAAATAAATAAAAATAATAGGAAAGATACAGTGGACAGACACTGTAAAACAGTTTAAACAGTTACCAGAGGTATAACTACTCTCTCATGCGAAGAAAAAGTGTTCTCCTAACAGACCCACTATGAAGAATATGGCATTAAGATGTGGTTAGAAAGCGAAACAAGAATCTTTCAGCAGTAGAACTGACATTTATGTAAAACTAATAAAATAATGGCCAATATAATAAAAAAGCCAAAAAGGCCTCAAGTTGTCTCAGTACAAGTGCGAATATCATAGAATGCTACACAGTGTTATTTATTCTTAGAGTAAGTAGATATTAATGTAGAGTTAAAGTTTTAATGGCAATGAGATGGAGAGTTGTACTGACAACAACTCATTTATCATTTTAGTAGGGGGAAATTGTTTCAATATAGAATAATTCACTCACTGATCCACAAACAAACAAACAAAAACAAACAACAAAAAACACACAACTACAAAATTTAAATATAAACTATTATAATCTGTTAAATTAGTCAAAATTATCTAGCATTATGTATCAGGATTGATTTGTTAAAAGTGTCATTTGTATGTATGCTGTATAAATGTGAGCCAGATGAAGGCTTCCCCAGCTGAATCTTGGTTCCTCTCAAGGTCTTTTCCTCATCTACTTTAACATCACAGAGCTTTCCCTGCTACCATCGGCACTGTGCACAGTTTTGTAAAGCACTGCTCTTAGTAAAGCTGCTTTAGAACGGTGAGTCTCATTCACCAATAATTGAGTGGTGTATTTATACACAAAAGAGAACTTCACATTAAAAATATCTGCCTCATTCACAACACATTTAAAAGCATGAATTTTTTCTTAATCTTGTTCGAATGTAAATGAGTATCCTAATTGAGCAACCGTGTGCCTGAGGTTATTAATTTGCATAAAATGCAGCAAATCCATCTCTGTATAAGAGATCCATGCAACCTTTCCTTTACAGCCTTTCGTCAATCTCAGCAAACATAAGACACATTTTCTTACTCTTTTACTGTATATGAAATATACTTAAAATTAAATAACCATGCATAAAATTAACATAAACCGACCCAGATTGTGAGATTTAAGCATGTGTGGTTTCAGCTGTTCCTTTTTTTTGTAGACTAAGAATAAAATGTAGTATGCTATTGGAATGTTACTGGTGAATGATTTGTTTGTGGAAACATTTGAAAACAGATTTCATGCATAAATATGGCCTATACATGGTTAGTGAATATGCTGTGAAAAGTGCAATACAAATGAATTGAATTATACCAACTACCTTTGAGACTAGAGTATTATATCAGATTATTTCTACAGGCAGATCAGAGCAGACATATAGTAGCACTTCTATGAATTTAGAGCATACATATAGCCACTTTAATTCCCAATTGATTTGAATATTTTTTTTGGACGTGTTGCGATATTTGTAATCACATCCCTGAATGTGGTGGCTAAAAATTTCCAGCCCTAAACTGTTGGCCATCATTTTCTCATAATTGTTAAGAAATGTCTGAACGTCACTACAGAAAGTTTCTGAGCTCTCTCCTTCTGGATCTTAATGTTGTTAACTCTAAAGCAGGGCCATTAGGAGAACATTAATGTGCATCTAATATTTTTAATAATAAAGTATAGATTTATAAGACAATACTAGAGCCCGACTGATATATCGTTTAGCCGATATTATCGGCCGATATGAGCCTGTCGCGATATATCGGTATCGGCGAATATGCCGCCGATATGAACTTTTTTTTACAGAACATATAAAGCAGATTAAATGCTTCTGAATGGTGTAATTACTTAGTTTTTCCAGCAGAGCGCGCGCCATTGTTTGCTACTGGTGACCCAGGTCACTGTAGTGTAGAGATGCGCGGATGAGCTCAAACTTCACCCGAGTCCGCTGCTTCAAATTATCCGCTCGCCACCCACCCGCACCTATATTTGATCGTCACATTACAGTGATTCTAAGTAGGGATGCTCCGATCGATCGGCCAGAGATCGGTATCGGCCGATAATCAAATTTCATGACTCGATCGGTACTCACTATTTGGTCGATCTCACGAACCGATCGCAATTTGATGACGTCAACGCCTACTCAATAGCATTAACACAGGCTTTACTCCTTTCAAACTTTATCTGGAATGTCACCGTTTCTGTCACTGCCACTTCCCGACCAGGCGAACGAACACACACACACTGCGCGCGAAATCGTCTGCCTCATGAAAAAAATGTATTTAATATTTGCATCATTTATGATTTATTTTATCCACCCGCGACCCACCCGCAAATAATCAGAATGCATTTTAAAGCGGGAGAAACAGAGGTTTCCGCGGTAACAGCTTTACACAAAGCAGCGCTGAGCTCACAAGCTCTGCTTTATCAGGCATATAACATGAAAGATGAAATGAATATGACATCGAAAATTTTCCAAAGATAGTCTTCCTTCAGAAATACAGTGAAATAAAAACACCCGTGCCTCGTTTTGATTTTTAAATGTGCAGTACGTGCTCATGTTTATTCAACGAAGCCTTTTGGAAAATCGGTCAGTTTTGATATTGTGGCGATAATAAATATAAATGTATGGGAAACACATCACACAGCACAACCACCTGAGCCCAACTTCAGTCTATTCATCACCTTAACTTTAACTGCGTTTGTAGCTGGTGCCATAGCCAGACTGATAAACAAACATTGACCAGAAGTTAACTTCGGGCTGGGCAAGGCGCGTGTGCCCGATGAAACTGTCTATATAAAGCTTGAAGCATCAGAATCGGCATCGGTATCGGCCGATCACCATGACAAGAAATCGGTACTCGGTATCGGCTGCAAAAATCCTGATCGGAGCATCCCTAGAAAATACTAATTAATCAATTTACGCTTTATTTAAAAAAAATACTACTATAAATATGCAAAATTATTATTTGGAAAATTCTTAATTCTTAAAATGAATTTATCCTGTGAAAATTTAATAATATGAATATGCGTAAAATGGTATTTGGAATATTATGTTACATCATTAAATTTTTTTCACCTTTTACAAAAGCACCGTGCTGTTAGATTTGCTGATTTTTTTATCAATTTATTCTGCGAAAAATGTTTATAAATATGCGTAAAATATTACTTGGAAAAATTTTTGTTTCTATTATGTTACACTATTACGTTTTTCTCTCAGTCACTGTTAGATGCATTATTTGTTAAATCAATTTATACTGTGAAAAATTATTATTGTAAATATGCGTAAATTATTACTTGGAAAATATTTAGTTTATAATCTAGCAATTATTGTTTTTTTCCCCACTCACTGTAGTACTGTGCTGTTAGGTGTTTCCAAACAATTTTTAATCAATTTATAATGTGAAAATGTATTATTAAGCAGTAACTAAATCAGCATACTATCATCTCAAAAACATTGCAAGAATTAGATGTTTTGTTTCCAGTCAAGACTTGGAGAAACTTGTTCATGCCTTTATCACCAGCAGGGTGGACTATTGTAATGGTCTCCTCACCGGC